TAATAATAATAATAATAATAATAATAATAATAATAATAATAATAATATAGAAAATACTAATGCTCTGATGGTCATTTCGAAAAATCCTTTCTTAGTGAGCCTCTAGAAGCCAAGAGAAACATAGGTGCCAAGTTTCCAGTTTGTAGGCTTTACTGTTCTGGAGTTTTTATGATGATGCGTGAGGGGTATTTCACTTTTATATATAAAGAAGATGATATATTACATATAAAAATTACAGTTATGAAGTCCACAAAAACTTCAGAAACCCATTTAATATAATTGGCTCTCAGGTCCTAACTTCAAAAAACATACAATGGATTCTCCAAAGACAGGGACTGATTATATAGTAGAGAAATTTTAATCAGATGAAAAAACTAGAAGGAAGCCAAGAACTGATTTTATGACGCTTTTTGCTGGAAACCGGTGTTTACTTCCAGTTCCCAACCAAAAACGCCTCCTGGGTATAATGGGGTTCCCTTAAAACCACCGCCGTCTTCATTTAATGACCACGGTGTTCATTTAGCCACAAAAAAAAGGCAATACAATCAGGCAGTACCAATACACATGGTGATCTGCTTAACAGCCACAATAACTTACGACTGTAATTTCTGGCTCAATTACGGTTGTAAGCTGAGAACCACTCTATTTTTCACACTTGGGGAAGACATTGGCTTGGGAAATGTTCTCAGGGGCCTTTGTCCAGGTAGGAAAGAGGTTCATGTTGTATTTGCAGGTGAACATCCAAATAAAGATATGGGAAAAGGAGCCATTTCTGTCCTTATCTCACCTGCTCAGCGATCTCCTGCCGTTTCTGTTCCAGGATTTTCTGCTGCTCATTGGTGTGATCCACGATGTTCTTCCCACCGACAAGGAGCTTGCTCTCCATTGCCTTAAAAGCAAAAAAATATAAGGGGTGCCGGGGGAGAAATTCCACAAAATTAGAACATTGCGGACACCACCCTGATCTCACAACTGTAATTCCAGTCAACTTAAAAACTTTAAAGGCAAAAAATATATATTCTTCATGCAGCGTACACCTGGCTGAAGTTTACCAAAATGAGGAATCAGATTTCAACAACCGATAACGCTAAGCCAGACACATACAGTTCCATTACCGATTAGCAATAAATTGCAATGTTTGCTAGAAATGCATAAAGTAACCTGCCCTTCAGGATGCTTTATTTATTTATTAATTTTGAAAGTTTATACAGCCGCTTCCTTGCTCACTCACAGCGACTCTAGGTGGCTTACAAACAATAAAAAGCACAGAATAGGAAAAAAAATAAATTAAATAAAAACAAAAATAATCAGAAAGGCCCAGCTACCCACCCCACAACGACAACACATGGACAAATAAGCCAGTTGTTGTTATTATTATTATCATTTTGTGGAGGCCACAATGTTTTGATGATGGACGGGTCATAAACATCCCCTCAATATAATAAGAATATTTTTTACACCTTTGTTTCTGCGTATTTCAAGGGTTTGGCTCTTAACTCTGCAGGCATATGCGTATACCAGTCTTGAATTTTCTTATAACAGCTCACTTAGTGATGTCACTGAAAAAAGTGAGTTAGGCCCATTTTTCACACTTACTGCCGCTGCAGTATCCCCAAGGTCACATGATCCGAATTCAGACGTGTGGCAACTGACTCGCATTTACGACCATTGCAGGGTCCCAGGGTCACGCGATCCTCTCTGGTGACCCTCCGACAAGCCAAGTCGATGGGGGAAGCCAGATTCACTTAACAACGGCGTGGCTCATTGAACAACTGCAATGAATCGCCTCATAAAATGTGGCAAGGAAAGTCATAAAATGGGGCAAAACTCACTCAACAAATTTTGGGGCTCAATTGTGGTCGTACATTGAGGATTACTTGTATATTTTTATTTTTAGTTTTTCGTCATTTAATGACCCCATAATCCCTTACATCGGGGTGGAGGTGGGGCAACTGAATGGAGCTGAGTATTTTACTGGCCGGATGCCCTTCCCTGTTGCCAATACGGAGTTCGCAACAGATATATTCTCATCGTGTCCAGAGAGAGAGAAACATCTGCCGCTACCTAGGATCAAACTCACAACCTCTTGATTGTGAGGTGAGAGTTCCACCACACCACTCTGAGGATTACCTGTACATGTTCTGCTGATTAACGGTCAATGTAAATACGTCGTTCAGTAGAAAAGGTATCTTACCTTGATTTTAGCTCCCAGCTTTTCAGCGGCTTCTTTCTCCCGTTTCAGGTCTTCCATCTTCTTCTCCTTCTCCTTCAGCAGCCTCATCTTGTCCTCGGCCACCAAGCTGTGGTCCTCCAGGATGGCCTTCTTCTCGATCTCCAGCTTCTCTTGTTGCTCTTTCCAGTAGTCATCTTTGTCCGCCCCTTCCTCTTCTTCCCCATCCTCTTCCCCATCCTCTTCCTCCTCCTCTTCCTCCTCCTCCTCGCCGATGCCGCCATCTCTCCTCCTCTCCTTCTTCTTCCTCTTGACGATGGATCTTTTCTCCAGCTGGGCCTTCAGGCGAGCAATTTCTTCTTGGAATTCCCGCAGGAGAGCGTCTTTGGGATCTTCGTTGACCCTTGGCTTGTTCTTGATGTTCTTGGCACGGTTGGCGTATCTCAGCGTAGTCAAGGTCTCCTCCACGTTGTAGGAGGCGGGGCCAATGTTGGCGACCATCACGGTCTTCGCGTTTCCCCCCAAGGAATCCTGGAGAAGCCGGGTCAGCTTGGAGTCCCTATAGGGAATGTGGGTGCTTTTGCCGTCCACAAGCGCGGAGATGACGTTGCCCAAGGCAGAGAGGGAGAGGTTGATCTTGGTGGCTTCTTTCAACCTCTCCCCCTGGGCTCCGGTCTTGGACTGGCGCTCGCTGCCCGCGAGGTCCACCAGGTTCAACTTCCCGACCCGTATGTGGTTCTCCCCATCGAGCCCAACCTCACTGCATTCGACGGTGATGACGAAAATGGCATGGGAGCGGGAACTGTGCTCATTCATGTTGGTCGCGCCCACCGAACGATTCTGGTTCCCCACATTCATGACGTGTTCGATTTCTTTCACGCTCTTGGTGACGAAGGACGAGAGATCTTTGACGTAGATCCCCGTGTCGGGCCTCTCCTTCAGCTCCAGCCTCTTGGATTGGTCCTTGGAGAGCAAGTCTCTGATTTCTTCTTGGTAGATCTCCAAGTAGGAGGCCCTGACCAGGTACTGCTGGTTCTGAGACCGGGAAATGTGGGTGAAGATGTGGTCAAAGGAGTTGGGGATGACCCCTCTTTTCTCAGCATCTCCACGCACGCCTTCCATGGTGTACGTTTTCCCCGTCCCGGTTTGCCCGTAAGCAAAAATGGTCCCGTTGAACCCTTGGAGAACCGAGTCCACCAACGGCCGGAAAGTCTCGTCGTAAAGCTCAAACTGTTTGGAGCTCCAGTCATAAACGGCATCGAAGGTGAACGTCTTTGGAAGTTCATGAGATGTTCCCTTTGGGTTCTTCACGGAGACCTGACCCAATTTCACGTCCACTTCCACCACTTGTTCATAGGATGCCACTTTCTCTTTGCTGTTCATTGGCCGGCATCGTACGACGACTCTGACCGACTCCGAGCACTTTAACTTCAACATGGCAAAGGATTAGCACGGGGACCAAATGAACGGATGACGAAATCAGGAAGACCACAAGGATTCTTCTAATCCTAGAAAGAATGTAGTACAAGAACAGAATGTAAAGATTAAGACAACACCATAGTTGGCACAGCAAGCAGAAGTTTCTATCCTACAGTATTATCACTTAACATCCTAGATCAGGAGTGTCCAACCTGGGCAACTTTTTAAGACTTGTGGACTTCAACTCCCAGAATACCCTAGGCAGCCATGCTGGCTGGGGAATTCTGGGAGTTGAAGTCCACAGGTCTCAAAGTTGCCAAGATTGGACACTCTTGCCTAGCTGGACTTTGGCAAATTTTATTTATTAATTTATTCGTGCATTCATTTATTAAATTTGAATGGTTCCCAACAGCTCTGCTGGTCCTGTGGTTTTTCCCCCCCGGTTTTTTAGTTGTAATTGGTTCCCTGCAACGTTTAATTGCTCTGGCATTTATTACTGTTTTTATATTTGTATTAGGTTATAAGCCGCCCAGAGTCGCTTTGGACAGCAAAATAGGCGGCATATAAATTCCGTAAATAAATAATAAACAAACTCTGGGTGGCTTACAGGTAAACCGCACATATACAAAAAGGAACAAACATGGAGAATAAAAGATTTGAAAAAATGACAAAAACCAGGTTAAAACATTACAGTAAAATAATCTTGCAGCGAGATGGGCGACAAACCAATTTCATAAATATGAAAATCAATGTCTCCTTTTTCAGACGTACAAGAAATAGAATAAATAGCTTTGTTAAATGGGAGGGCTTTAGTTTCTTGACGCTCTGATAATTATTGCACAAATCCAATGGAATAAATTTTGCCTTTAATCATATGCATATTCTGGTCCTCTCTCAAAAGATATTTTAAATTTGGCCTAGTTCCGTGATGACGAACCTATGCCACATGTGCCATAGGTGGCACTCAGACCCCTCTCTGTGGGCATGCGAGCCATCGCCCCAGCTCAGCTCTGTTGCGCATGTGTGCACGTGCCTCCCGCCGGCCAGCTGGTCTTCAGGTCTCTGCCCCACATGCGGGAGGGGAAGGTTGCATGCACAGGGGATGCGCATGTATTGCATTTTGGGGGTGCGTGCATACGTGTGCACCTTGGGCACTTGGTGCCAAAAACATTAGCCATCACTGGTGTTAGGAATATAAGTCACCTAACAGGGTATTTGGGTTAGAAATACATAAACCAGGATAAACATTTTAAAACTGTATCTTTAAGAAAATGCAAAACTGTAATGAGGTGTGCTTTCTCAAACGGCCATAAGATGGAGCCAGAAACCTGGTTTGTCTTAGTCTGAGTCTCAGAAGAGAGTGTGAGTGTATCTCTGTTTCCTTCTGTTGGAAAGTATTTCTTCTAATTGACTGATATTCCTGGATTTAATGTAACTCTGATACTGAACTGTTTTTGACACTGGAATTTGATATTTGGATTATCCCTGGATTGAAAACTGACTGATTTACTTGTGAATGACTTTGGACTGCTTTTTTTTTGAATTTTGCTTAAACCTTTCTGGAAGTAAAAACCTACATTTACTGTACAGTGTATCTGTGTACTGTGTGTGTATTATTCAAACACTCCTCTCAAATACGTCTCCCTGTATGCGCTCATTCTCCTAACGGGGAATTACCACAACTGGTCTAGTTGTTAAGGTGCTGGCCTAGGAAGCAGGTGACAGCGAGTTCTGGATTAGGGAAGAAAGCTGGCTGGGAAACCTTGGGCCAATCTCCAGGAGACAGTGAATTCTAGTCCTGCATTACGGTCACTAAATGAATTGTTGTAAGTCGAGGAGTACTTGTATTCTGCTATTTATGACATCGTAAGTCACCTAGAGTCACTTGATAATGAAATGGGGGGGGGGGGCATATAAATGTAATCAACCAACCAACCATTCCTTCTGGGAGTAGAGATCACAGCTCTCCTAACTCCCGCTGAGTCCAACCCTTTGACACCTGCTCTTCTGTACCTGGTTCACCTGCCAGATGATTCCAGGTGAAGTGGGGGCACAGTGGTTAGAATGTAGTATTGCAGGCTAACTCTCTGTCCACTGCCAGGCAGAATGGGACAACTTGACATGGCCAATTCACCATGGCCAACTTGCTTTAGCCAACTCTCCATGGCCAACTTGCTATAGCCAATTCACTATGGCCAACTAACTACGGCTAACTCTCTGCAGCAAAGTCGCCATAGCCAACTTTTGTGGCCAACTTGCTACAGCCCAACCCACCACGGCCACCTCTCTATGGCCAACTTACTATAGCCAACTTGCTACGTGTCAGCCCCAAGGTGGCCAAACGCTGGCAGGCCATCCCCCTTTGGGGGGGGGGGTGGACCCACCGGTGCCAAAAAAGCGGGCCATGGAAGAAGGAATCATCCAAATTCCCCATAGCCCAGAGCACCTGGTGAACGCTGTACTGCCACTGTGTCTGCTGCTAGAAAGGGTCCGGAGCAATTGGTCAAGCCATGGAGAGCCACAAATGGCTGGGATCGTTCTGGAGCGATCAGCTGAGCTGCAGAGGGCCAGCAGACAGCTGGGAATGCTCCGGGGCAATCAGCGGTGATACCAAATAGATGATCACCAGCAACCGGACATTGAGGGAGAGGGGAGGGCCCACGCACATAGCAAAGAAAGGGGGGGTGGAGCTCCAGGAGAGTGGGGTAGCTGCATATACTTAAGGGCGTAAGAGGTAAAGCACAATTAAATTTGTTTGCTTTATGGTCACTGTGATGACCCAAAGGGGCGTGGCACGAAGGCCACACAGTCAGAGAAGCAAGAAGAGTCCCTTTATTGTCTCCAACTTTGCTTTCAATGTCCAGGTTACCTTCGTCTGGAGAAAAACTCTCCCAGGAACAGCCTTTAAGTGGAGAAAATTCAGTCCGAAAACAAAGTACATACAAACTGTAACTAAAAATCCAAAGAAACCATGTTAACTTGACAGGGCAGGAGAAGGAATTGCAGACTTAAAAGGCCAGCAAAACACACACAGTTGGGAAGACGCCAGGAACCCAGATAAGCCTCGACAATAACAGATAATTCACGATTTGCTTCCAACAGTTTGCCGTGCACAGCTTCCCTTTTTAAACATTGTGTTCCCAGCTGCAGCTAATGAAGGGAATCAGGGCCCTTTCCTCCCCCATAAGCCACGCAACTCACGTTGCTCCATTCTCTGTTCCTCCCTGCATGCCCTAGGATGAAGAGGGGGTGGGCCTAGGTCTTCCTCTGAATTCCCTCTCCCTTGCTCTACCTCTCCCTTGCTCTACCCAGCCAGACTGTGCCCTTCCCCAGTTTCTTCCACAGCCACACTCCCACTCCCTGTCAGCTGCTCGGCCTCTCCCCCGAATCAGATTCCGACAGGAGCATGACAGTCACTTTGTGCTGGGAATCCATACTTTCAAGATAAAAGATTCCAACTGAAGCTTGTATTATCTGAGTTTTCTTGATGCTGAATTCTGGAACATGACACTACAGCCAACTCTCTGCAGCCAACTCAGTATGGCTAATCCGCCACGGCCAACTCACTACTGCCAACTCTGTGTGGCCAACTTGATGCAGGACTACCCACCATGGCCAACAGGTAGTCCTTGACTTACAATAGTTCATTTAGTGACAGTTCAAAGTTACAATGGACTAAAAACAATCATTTTGACCGTTCTTCACGCTTACGACCATTGCAACATCTCCAGGGTCATGTAATTAAAATTCAGATGCCTGGCAACTGATTCATATTTATGACGGTCGCAGTGTCCCACGGTCATACGATGCCCTTTTACGACCTTCTTAAGTCAATGGGGAAGCCAGATTCACTTAACTGCCGTGTTACTATCTTGACAACTGCACTGAATAACTCTGACAAGACATAAAATGGGGGCAAAAGTCACAACCAATGCCTCACTTAACAACAGAAATGTTGGCCTCAAATTACAGTCGTAACTCGAGGACTGCCTGTAAAACACCATGGAGCAGAATATAAGTCCAAGTGCTATTGCTATTAAACATGGCTCCAGACTCACACCTGCCACAGCAGAACGGCTTAGAACAGGCTATTAAAAAAATACTATAAAAAAGACATTGAGACTCTAGAAAGAGGGCAGAGAAGAGCAACCAGGATGATGAGGGGATTGGAGTCTGAAACATACGAAGAACTGGGCCTGGCTAGTCTAGGGAAGAGAAGGACCAGGGGAGACAGGAGAGCATCTTCCAGTATTTGAGGGAGGGGCTGCCACAGAGAGGATGGGGTCAGGCTATTTTCCAAGGCACCTTTAAAGGCCAAACAAGGAACAATGGATGGAAACTGAACAAGGAGAGATTTAACCTATAAATTAGCTGGACAATCAGCTAAATATGAGCCAGCAGTGTGTGGTGGCAGGCAAAAAAGCCAATGCAATCCTAAATTGCATTAACAGAGGGATACAATCAAGATCAAGGGAGGTGCTAATACCACTTTAAAAAGCCTGAGTAAGACCACACCTAGAGTACTGCATTCAGTTTTTGTCATCACATTAAAGAAAAGATACTGAGGCTCTAGAAAGAGTGCAGAGAAGAGCAACCAGGATGATGAGGGAACTGGAGGCTAAAACATACGACGAACGGTTGCAGGAACTGGGCCTGGCTAGTCTAGTGAAGAGAAGGACCAGGGGAGACAGGAGAGCAGCCTTCCAATATTTGAGGGGCTGCCCCAGAGAGGAGGAGGAAGGGGTGAAGCTATTTTCCAAAGCACCTGAAGGCAAAACAAGGAATAATGGATGGAAGCTGATCAAGGAGAGATTCAACCTGGAAATAAGGATAAATTTTCTGACCGAGAGTACAGGTAACCCATGGAATAAAAGTTGCCCTCAGAAGTTGTGGGAGCTTCATCACTGGAAGCTTTCAAGAAGAGATTGCACTGCCACCGGTCAGAAATGATGTCGGGTCTCCTGTTTGGGCGGAGAGGGGTTGGACTAGATGACCTACAAGATCCCTTCCAACTCTTGCTAATCTATATCTGTATCTGTCTACATAGGCTGGCAAAGGCTGTTGTTGCCAGAGGAACCACATTGACTCA